GGAATAAAGATGCTTTAAAGCTAGAGAAAGGGGCCATAAGTCAATAAATTCAAGTGGCCAAAAGAGAGAAAAAACAAAGGAAAGAACCCCCTCAGGGAGCCTCCATATAAAGAAACCATCTCTGTCAACACTTCCATCACAGCTTCTTAAATACGTTTTAGATTTCTGACATCTAAAACTGTAAGATAATATATTTGTGCAGTCAATAAATTTTTAACAACAGAATAAAGAAATTAATACACATTCCTCCAAAGATACCAAGACATTCTGAATTTTCTTTCCTTATGTGTTTTGCTTCTTCTTTCTCAAACTTCCATAATATGGCTTTATTTGAACACTTCATACACTAGAACATATTACCCTATCTCCATCACAAAGACCCATCAATGTGTCAGTTGCACTGACTGAGAACAATCTTTCTCAAAAAGTATCATACGCATGCAAATGGTGAAAATTAAAAGATTTAGTTATTTTGTTAGATACTCTTAATTTTTATTTATGAATTTATCATTTCATATATTAAAAAAATATAATTAAATTAGTATATCTGTGTTAACAATCAAATATTTGCATCCCTTTAAAATTCATATGTTGAAACTGAATCTCCAATTTTGTGATGGTATTTAGAATGGGACCTTTGGAAGATAATTAGAATCTGAGGACAGAGTCCTCAAATATCAGAGAGCTCCCTCATTCTTTCCACCACATGAAGCCACAATGAGAAGTTGATTTTTTACAAAGCATAAGTTAGGCCATCATAAAACACTCAAACTGCCGGCATTTTGATCTTGGACTTCCCAGATAATAGAATTGTGAAAAATAAATGTTTCTAATTTAAGTCACCTAAAAAATGGTATTTTTGTTACAACACTGAGTACACTAAAAATAAGTGTTTATAAGGCACAAGAGTCTAAAAAACAATGATAATATTAAATTACAATAAAACCTGATAGACAAGGCAAAAACTACAAAGGACTTAAGTGTCACTGGTAGGGAAAATATTAGAATAAGGAATTAAACTTAAATTGTTGATCATTAATTCAACCACATAATGCAATCTAATATTGAGATACAAGGGAGGGCCTCCCCGGTGGCGCAGCGGTTGAGCGCTGGGTTGCGAAGCTGCCCGCAGCCTCTGTGGCGCCGGTTCGATCCCTGGCTGTTCCCCAGCCACCGGAGGAGGGTCCCACATGGCGCGCCGCCCGCTGATCCTCTCAGCAGTGTACTTCAGTCCTTCTGCCTGCTCTGCTCCCCACTCTGGCTCTGGTGAATTCTCTCACCCTCCCGCGCTTCTGACTGTACCCAGTGCATGTATAAACAAAACAAACAAACAAACAAATAAATAAATAAATAAATAAAATGCCTCTATAAAAATAAATAAATAAATAAATAAAATAAAAAAAAAAAAAGAGATACAAGGGAAATGTGTTCCCTCTAAATTATCAAAAGCTACTGCACAGTGAAAGACTGTCAGTAAAACAAAAAGAAACCCAACTGAATGGGAGGAACTATTTGTTTATCACACATCTGTCAAGGACTGATATCCTAGATCTACAAAGAACCCGTACAACTCAACAACAACAACAAAACAACTCAATAAAAAAAATGGGCATGGAGCTGAATAGACATGTTTCCAAAATTTAGACATACAGATGGCCAACAGGCACATGAAAAAATGCTTACCAATTATAATTAGGAAAATGCAAATTAAAACCACAATGAGATACTGCTTGGCACATATCAAAAAGAGAAAAACAGTTAAGTGCCCATGAGGCTGTGAAGTAAAAGGAATCCTTGTATACCATTGGTGCAAATGTGAACTGGTACAGCTTCTATGGAAAATAGTATGGAGGTGTCTCAAAATACGATACATAGATCTACTCCTAGGTGTCTACATGAACAATGCAAACCCCACAAATTTTAAAGAGATATATGTAATGAATGTTCATTGCAGTACCTGTTTATAATAACCAAGTAATTGGAACACCTTAGTATCCAAACACAGAGGATTAGAAAAATGTGGTGTGTGTGTATATATATATATATATATATATATATATATACACACACACAAAGGAATACTATTTCAACTATAAAAAAAACAAACAAGCAATCAAACAAAAAAAAAAATGAACTCCTGCTATTAGCAACAACATGGATGGAATTTTTTAAAAGATTTATTTATTTATGCATACAAGAACTGGGATGTAAGCCAGAGGTGCAGGGGGTGAGGGGTTCACTAGAGACAGAGTGGGGAGCAGAACAGGCAGACCTACCGAAATATACTTCTGAGGGGAGCAGCGGGCATGGTAGGAGAGGTCTGCTATGCCATGTAGGTAGCTCATGGGGATTGAACTTGTGCTGCCATGACTGTGATAGCTTGATAGCACTGTCTTTAACCCTGTGCCACGAGGGAAGCCCAACATGGATACAATTGATGGAGATAATGCTAACTGAAGTAAGTCAGAAAGAGAAGGACCAAATGGTTTCATTTATGTATGCAATATAGAAAAAACAAAGGGTCAGAGAAAATCAAACCAATAACAAACCCTAGAAAACTGTGGATGAAGGATATAAGAAGAAGAGGGGAAAAATAGTGGGTAGATGGCAAAATGGAGTATGATGGAGAATTTCGAGTGCCTTGTGTTAAGTGTAGTGTGAGGATAGGCATGTGAAGAAATATGATCTTCTGTCTCTGAATCACATACAATAGTGTAAACCAATGCTAGATCAATAAAAAAAATTCTAAAAAAAAATGATAATTTTATAAGTGACCAGATCATCAGTAATTGTTGATAATTTTTTATGAAGGATAAAATCATCCAAAATCAAATAAAATAATATCTAAAATACAGGTGTATTATTACAAGACTTGTAGAAGCTTTATGAATATTTAGTTTTGAGTTTTAATACATAGTCATTGCTTATTATTCACATTTAGTGCAAAAAAAGTTCCTAACAATATAGGTTCCCCTGAGTCTTATCCCATTTCTGAAAGTGAAGATTGAAGGAACTTGTCTATATGTAACAAATTCCCTAGTTGAATTTATGATCACAGAAGTTTGAGATCTGAACTACAAAAACAATCACAAAAAGACCAATCACAAAAAGTATAGTTGTCAAGTGTAGATAGCTTCTAATTAAAAAGAGTTACTTTACTTTCTTCAACAGCCATACAAATATTGAAAATACAAGGAAACATTTCCAAACTTGATATTTTATTCTAAATAACAATAGAAAACATTAATAATGATTTAATTAGTTTAATTATTAATTAATACTTAATAATTTCAAAGCACTTTGAAAACTAAGTAATGATTATTCTCTCTCTATAAAACTAATATAGAGTTTTGAAGGTTGGAAGATCAAATAGAAAGTATCTTTGATTTTCCACTAATTATAATGATATGGTAAATATGAATCAAGATCAATGTTGTATGTAATATCATCTCCATTGGGCATTCTAATACACAGGATTTTTAAAGGAAAATAATCAAGGATTGTGAATATTTTTTAAATGAGCACTGTGCTTTTTCTTTTAAAAAGAAAAAAAAACATAAATATATATTATAAATGCACTGCATTTCAAAACTTAATTTTCTTTTGCTTTTTTAAAAATTAAAATCAAAAGTTGACAAATTATTTAGAATTAGAGATTTAATTAATCTAAATAATTCTAATTCTAAATTAGATTAATTATTTAGATTATAAACTTTTCCAGGCTACTTCATAAAAGTCTACAGATATATCATCAGCGAAATGTTCAATGTATAAAAGGAAAAACTGTTGTAAATGTTATAACAAATTTAATATGACCGTAAATCTGATTAGATTTTTTCCTTTACTATGAATACTGGAACCTAAGAAAAAATAGTTTTAATTAGAAAAAGATGAGACAAGATGATGATTTTTTAAAGGAGGCTTCTTGACATTTTTAATGTCTTTAGGAGTTGACAGTTCTGGAACTTTACAATGCCTAATTTCATTTCTAGGTTAGTTTTCTTTTTCTTTATGCAGTACTTTTCACACACTTTCAACAAAAATTTGTGATAATAAAGGGTTAAAAAAGACCACTAGTCTCCACAGTAATTTTATTAAAAGAGAAACTGAGAACTTAAGTGACCAGAATTACACTATTACCATAGATTTAGATTGAAATTTTACTTTTATAAAAGTAACAAAATATATTTATCCTGATCTGTGGTCTGTGTGTCTGTCTTCCCTTTCTTCCTCCCTTCCTTAACTTTTTTCCTTGCTTTCTTTCTCCGCCATCCCCCAAATCCCTGTCTCCTCTTTCAATTTTGTTTTCTAGGATTGTAAAAAAAAAGAGTCCTGTTATTCAACACTGCATACATTTTGACAAGGTTACATGATAGCTCTTAGTATAAGAGTCTTTGTGTATTAAATAAGGAAATAACATCTGTTCCTTAGAATTTCTATGAAGACTGCGATAATGAACAAATATTGGTTTTGTCACATAGAATCTTCTCAATAAATTTAGTATGTACTAACTGGTGTCTCCTGTTTATACTCCTGAGACATTCTTTGCTTGTTCTTTGTGGTATTTCTGAACACTTATTCTGAAATTAGCAACATTTCACAAAGGGTTTTAAAAATAAAGAAATTTGGATGCTCTAGAAGTAAATGCCCAAGGATTTGACTTTATTATAAGAAACTGATTTTCAGACATTCTCCTAATGGATTGTAGAGTGAAAAAAAATTCTTGGAAAGCCTTCATGCTTACTTATAAATGTTCACATAGTCACAATTTTGAAACAAATGAATGCTAACAAAGGAAATGCTGTTTATGATTGTCCCTTGTTGGTGGCCTATGCATCCAGTGATGCAAAAAATTGCCATTATGAGGTGTTTTTATTTTCTATTATTCACCCCTTTGTGGAGGGAGGTATACACAGCTTAGGGTTATAAATATGGCTAGGCACATGAAACCCACCACTGGATAGATAAAATAGACAACAATTTGAGTCACATATACTCACAGTGAATGGCAGGAGGATACCCACTCCATGCAGAGTCACACAAGGGCTACAATCTGGAACAGAGTGAAGACAGACTGTAAGAAAGAGAATCCACAAAGGGGGTAAAGTAACCCCTGATTCACTAAGAATAATGAGATAGACTTGCTTGAATCATTCTGTAGACTGGCAGGAAACAGAAACTAGCTGTTCAGCGATAAGAAGGAATTTTATGTGAGCATTTGATAAAGAGTTTTTCTTGGGGGCCTCCCTGGTGGTGCAAGGGGTGAAGCACCACATTATGAAGCAATCCACAGCCTCTGCAACACAAGTTTGATCCGTGGTGGGCCAGGAAGCAACCCACATGGCACAGCAGACCTCTCCTGACTCGCCCGCTGCTCCCCTCAGCAATGTTCTTTGGTCAATCTGCCTGCTCTGTCCCCCTGCATCTCTGTCCTATATCCCAGCTCTTGTATGCATAAATAAATAAATCTTAAAAAAAAAGTTTTTCTCAGACCTCCCCGGTGGCGCAGCAGTTAAGCACTGGGTTGCAAAGCTGCCCACAACCTCTGCAGCGCCGGTTCAATCCCCCGCTGCTCCCCGGCCACGGGAGGAGGGTCCCACATGGTGCGCAGACCTCTCCTGCCGCCCCTGCTCCCCTCAGCAGTGTGCTTCAGTCCTTCTGCCGGCTCTGCTCCCCGCTCTGGCTCTGGTGAATTCTCTCACCCTCCCGCGCTTCTGACTGTGCCCAGTGCTTGTATAAATAAATAAAAAAAGTAAATAAATAAATACATAAATCTTAAAAAAAAAAAAAGTTTTTCTCAATTAGGAAAACTTAGTTTTAGGAGTTAAAAAGAAGACTTTTGGATAGGACATTTGAAGCTCTTCTTTTTGAACTACTTATAATAACACATAATGTTGGACCTAATTTCAGACATTACAACTAATGTGACAGGAAGGAAGTCCAGGGATTGATATGGGGGGTCCACCAAGCCAAGAATTCAAAACAGAGTTGTATAACTCAAAGAATCAGAAAAGTAATTTCTAATATACATAATGGGATGGAGAGGAAGCATTTTCTGGCCTATAAAACTGAAATCTTTCAACTGCTGGTTATTTGCTAAATTCATGTCACCCCAATTATTTTTGAGTACAATTACTTTTAGTTTTCTTTAAAAATATTGGATTCACTATTTTTTGAACAAAAGTAGCTTAAACTCAAAATAAGTGACAGAGTTATACTTTTCTAAGCCATTCTCATTCACACTAAAAAAAGTGGTCTTCTAGTTTGAAAAGAATAACTATATTAAAATTATTTTGTTCACTTGTTCTTTCCATTGCTAGAAAATTAAGAGGACTTTTGGTAAGTTCCTATCAATCAAATTAGCATTTTAAATAGATTATTTAAATAAAAAGATAATTTTTGTTGTTTCAAAAAAATGATATAGATGTACCCCTAGTGATTTGGAGTTAGTTTCAAACTCATTGCAATTTCTTTTTTCCAAAAACATATGCTAATAAGTATCCAGCAATATTGTAAAGATAAATTGAAAAGCACTTTGCATAAATGAAATGGTATATAAATGCAAATTAATAGTACTAATGTATGTTATAATTATATAGAATCTTCCAATGTGAAGCACTGCCTTAAGTTAAGATACATTCCCCAGGGGAAGATAAGGATTAAAGAGTTCACAGAAGAACACTTAAGATGGTTAAAGTGGAATGAAACTTACACATATACAAAAGGGAAGTAGGGAACCAAGATTATTTAGTCTTGCAATGTGAAAAGATATAGTGAACATAATTGAGTTATTTAAGATTTTGAAGGGTATAGTAAAAATTGATAAGATCCTTTTTTTATATGCTATCCCATAATACAAGAAGGAGAGATCACTCAAAACTAATGGAAGGTTAATTTAAAAGGAACAAAAGGAAATACTTAATCTTCACATAGTGTAAAGTCAAACCACGTAATTCAATATCTCAAGAGATTACAGATAACAACACAGTGTCTACAATTTTTAAACAGAAAGAATGGACTTTTTTTAGTCAAAGCAATTTTCTATATGAAATGGAGAAAAATCAAAATGTATGCCTTATGTAATTAAATGATGATCATCAGTATTAGTAATAAGATAATTCCCTCTCTCAATTTGGAAATAAAATTAACAATAGACTGAGATGTGTTGTTTTTTTAGCATTCTTGAATCATTTTTAATTTTATTTTCAAGGAGGAAATCATTAAACCTTAGATGTATGCATACCTCATCATCACCATAAACCATATTCATTCCACATTCTTTATTTCCCCTGCTAATGACTTGGAATCCCTCTATTAATTTACAACTTCATCTAAGTACATGACTTATGCAACCAATAAATTACTGAAAACACTGCTACAGAATCAAATATTCCATATTAAAATTTGAATTTTGCCAACAGTTAATATTGAAGATGTGTGAGAATTAATTCAGAAAGCAATATCTTAAATTTTCAATATTTTGTGCTATTTTAATTATTAAAATTAATAGTTTAGCAATTTTAATATAATTTTTTAGAAAAAGAGGGTGTATTCCAAGCATCCATGCAATTTTAAAAAAGCAAATTTGTTTGAAATAGATTATTCCTATTAAATGTTGGAGGATATTAAAAGATGGGGGATCAAAGTATATACATGAATGTGAATATAAAAAAGTTTTTTAGATATGAAGAGTAAGGACACATATTTCTTATTTATTTATATTGGAAAATTTAAAATAAGCTTTTAATTCAATGTAAATTTTATTTTTTTAAAGATTATTTATGCATACAAGAACTGGGGTGTAGGCCAGAGGTGTGGGGGGGTGGGAGGATTCACCAGAGATAGAATGGGGAGCAGAACAGGCAGATCTACTGAAACACACTAGTAAGGGGCTCATTGGGTGGAGGTGAGGTCTGCTCTGCCATGTGGGTTAGCTCCCTGGCCTGGGATCGAACTCATGCAGCAGTGGCTGGCACTATGAAGTGCTGTGTCTTTAACCCCTCTGCCTCCAGCCAGGGCCCTCAATGTAAATTTTAACATTAATAAAAGTTACATTGGGCCTCCCAGGTGGCGCAGCGGTTGAGCGCTGGGCTGTGAAGCTGACCTCAGCCTCTTCGTTCCCCAGCGGAGGCGAGGGTCCCACGTGGTGTGCAGACCTCTCCTGCCACAGCCCCGCTGCTCCCCTCAGCAGTGTACTTCCTCAGTCTGCCTATTCTGCTCCCCGCTCTGGCTCTGGTGAATTCTCTCACCCTCCCGTGTTTCTGACTGTACCCAGTGCATGTATAAATAAATAAATACATACATACATACATACATACATACATAAATCTTTAAAAGAATAATAAAAGTTACATTAAGTGTCACTAACATTTAATAACATTTTTATTAAGGAATATTGTTTTAAAAATTTTTAAATGAACATTACATTTTGAGAGGGGGAAGTCTATAATTTTACTCTACCAAATATTTATTTTGCAAGAAAAATCAATGAACAGTCATATTGACTTTTGTTTTTCCTACTAGAGGGTTAACAGCACAAGCATCAGTACATGAAGTTGTAGTTTCAAAAACTAAAGCAAAGAATGAGAATTAGTAAGAATAGTTAGATGAATATGTTGAGTTCTAAAAGTGAAAAATGGGGGAGGAAGTTTGAACAAGCTAAGAGAAGTGGAATGTATTTTGAAAGGGTAATAGAAGTTGTTTTGTGTTGTGTTATTTTGCCTTTCTGTTAAATGTTTGCCAACATTATGTGCATATTTTAATCATTACTATATATTTGCAGTACATTTTTTTCAAGCTAGGAAAAAAATCAGTCTCATGAGAAAAAATTTAAAATAATGGGCTATAAACCCATTTTCAAAAATTAAACAATTTTCTAGTGTAGTTTAAGGAAGCCCTAAGCTGTGAATATGGGCTTCAACTATATAGCTAAATTTTAATATAATGAGGTTATAAAAGAAATTTAAATTTCCCAAAGCACCCTCTTGCATATTGAAACTTAATTGCTCCCCCATAATATTGTTAATGCCATTATATTATGATTTATATGCCAACTTATGGTTGCCTTTGTCTTATAATGATCTGAATGTTATTCAAATACATCAACAATACCACTAGAATTTATACTTTCAAAGGAGATTATTTTAAGTCATTTTCATTCTGATCATTTCTGTTAAAAATTTTATGATGAAGTCTAGAGAAAATTTAAAATGATTTTATTGATGATGCCTTAAAATTAGGATATGGTGAATACACATCTCTTTGGCAGATGAATCAACTTTTATATTTTTGTTGCACATTTTAAATTAGATTTCCTCACTATATTTTAATTTAAACATGAAGAAATTGCAGAGTAAATCATTATAACCTATAAACTCTGAAGGAAAATTTAAAGATCAGAAAACTGAAACTTGGAGAGCAAAATTACTATTCACTTTTTCCAAAAATATAAAAACTTCTATCACTTTCAAATCTTACATGCCTTTATTTGAATTAGTAAGTAATAATAATACAAATGTGGAGCTTGTAGAAAACGACTATTGGTGGAGATTCCTGTGGCACCCTGGGGCTACAAAGATAAATTTAAATGACACATCAAAATCAACTGCTATTTGTAATGAGAGTCAAAGCAATTATAGATCTAATTAAGCAGCAATTGATTAGCTAGATATCCTGGAGCTGAAGAGTTTTCTGATACCACATATTAAAGTTCCTGATTTTTTTAAAGGTAACTGGCTTACAACACTGTATATGAGTTAGGGGAATGGGCTCATACCTCTTCAGATGCATATTACCACACTACATATGCCACCAAGACACCCATAATCCTCTCCCATAGGATACTGGGATCCTTTCCACATGCATTGCTGTTGTTCACATCTCCTACCTTTCTCCTACAGTAGCCTCAATTCTACAGTTAGAGTTCCAAGGGTTTTTTTTTTTTTTTTTTTTTTTTAGTTTTGTGTATTCCTTTTTTGGTATCTTATTTCACATATGAATGCAATCATGCAATATCTGTCTTTTTCCTTGTGATGTATTCGTTTAGGGGATTAA